CTGTTGCCTTGCCGGAATGAAGCTGTTTAATGGCATCGCAGATATTTTGAGTGCTGAATTCAGTTTTAATATTTTCCTGTTCGCACAGTTGTTGGATGATTTTGTGCCGGACATAATATAGGTCTAGAAAGTCTGGGTCATATCCTTTGTCTTTGGGGAGAGCCAGGTCCTCGAAATATTTTGAGAAGCTTTGTGTTTGATCAGTGGCAGAGTATTGAAGTTCACCATTTTCCATTATGCACATCGAGTCCTTGTTTATGTTGCCTCTATTGCGACGAATTAGCCTATGGAACATTTCGTTGCTTGGATTGTCCATCACTTCTTTGTAAAATTGAGCCCTATCTATGTATTGTTCTCTCCTCATTTGTTTTCTTAGATTGCGTTGAGCCATAATTTTGTACGACTTGAAGTGGTCATCATGTTTACCATGCGATTTCCAAAGATGATATTTTTCCTTACAGATTTGAAGAAGGCTGAGGGTTGTTGGTGATGCCTTGAATTTAGGACCTTTCAGTTTGATGATTTTGGATGGAACAGCAACTGCTGCGGCTTTTTTCAAACATTTGCACAGATATTGAATGTTTTCTTCCAAACAGTGATTTTCTATGTTGTATTGAGTAAGTTCTTCATTTATGAGAGAATTAAAGGATTCAGAGTCTAAATCTTTCCATTGAAGTTTGAATTGCCTTGCAAAGATTGGTTTGACTATTCTTTGTTTAACGTTTGCTCTATTATGCGTTTTATAGTTAGAGATAATTGTAGAGGTGGTGTTGTCTAGAATATAGTCTATTTGAGAACAGGACAGTCCAGAGTGGTGGAAGAAAGTTGATTTGTCAGTACAGCTCTGTTTAAGTTCATTTCCTGCACAAATGCTTGTAGCAGTCTGTCATGTTTGTTATAATTTCTCGGAGGCTTTAATGTTCCATTGAAATCTCCCGCTATGATAATTCTATGGGTTGCTGAATATGTTGAAACGATGGAGCTAATGATATCGAGACATTCAGTATATTCCAGATAAGAGTCTCCAGAGTTGTTTGTAGGCATATAGACACAGATAATACATAAGTTAAACGGAGACTTAAGTTCAACTGCTATTACCCTGTTGTTTCCGGATTGTATTTCTTAGACAGATGGCGTCAGATGATTTTTCCAAGCTATTGCAACACCCCCTTTCCCTCTTGGCAGTTTAAAATTATCAATTTCCTCATTGGTGTCACTGCATCTTATATGCATGTCCATATTAGGTAACACAGGCCCTAAAATTTGTTTTTGAAATTCATACAACCAGTGTTCCTGGATGCAGATTATGCCTGATGGCGTTTCCAATGTATTTAAGTAAAATGAATTTCCTTTTCCTTCCATATTGATTGTGGTTAAGTTTAGATAATCTTTAATAATTTCTTTTTCGTTTTTATTTTTTAATTTTGCTGGCTTTATGAGATTCTGACTATGCTTGGATCTGGTAGTGGGTTGATTTGGTCGACCCCTAAAAAAGACTTGATGTTATACTATTGTTTCAGAAAAGGGAGAAGGTTTGGTACCATTAAAACGTTTAATCCCGCTGCAAATGTTTGCACCTGTCCTAAGTCAGGAATCTGATTACAGTAGTTGTCGTCTGTTTATGTAGTTCATACGTGTTTCTCGTTTCTCGTTTTTATATAGATTAGACCGTTGGTTTTTCCGTTTGAATGGTTTTACACTAGTAATTTTTTGGGGCCCTTTATAGCTTGCTGTTCGGTGTGAGCCAATGCTCCGTGTTGAAGGCCGTACCTTGACCTATAATGGTTTACTTTTATAAATTGTAACTTGGATGGAGAGTTGTCTCATTGGCACTCATACCACATCTTCCTGTATCTATTGTCTGAATTTGCTTGATGGGATGTAGCTCTTACAGGCGTTGACGGGCATTTCTGCATGGTTTCGGTTGTATACGTATCATCTTGAGGACTACAGTTCGAGGTTGGAAGTACCTGTTGTTGGTTCTCTTGCAGATTTACGTTAGCAAAAGTCCTATTGCACGGAATGTCCCCAGGTGAAACAAATAATGGAGTGCAAGATGGATGATTTATGCAGTTCGTTTTAACTTGAGCCTCCTGTGCATTAGATGGCTACACAATTGGACACTTCTGTGAAGACTGATTTTTAGACGCTTGTACAGAATTTTGATGTATATAACGCTGTCGAATCTTGGGATTTGGTATGTAGCATAGTTCGACCTGTTGTGATGTTTGTCACGGTTGTCTGGTTGTCTTTCAGAGCTTCTGTTAAATTCTGCTGGTCTTGCTTGGGGTGGCATATTGTTTCTATTTTCTCTCTGTATGGGTTGAGAGAAAATAGAACAATGACAATTGCAATAATAAATTTTATAAAATTTTTGAATAACAGTTTTCAATTACAGCAGTCTTTTGTAATACATTCAATTAAAATAGATTATCTATGATAATAAAAATTAATCGTTATTGCCAATTACGACAATTCTTGCGCAGTAGGCGCGAAAATTTAAACCCGCGAGCCCCCTTAAATACTTTCTCTGTCATAAAGAGCTGCAATAGCTACATATTAAGATAAAGATCCTATAATTATACGATTAAACTTAACCCTGAATTTGTTTATTCACATTAAAGTTTTCCGCATGTGATCATGTTGTACAAAAGATGATGTATAATTTTTGTTATTTCTAATAAAAGGAAAATAGCAAAAATACCGAACTCCTAGGAAAATTAAAAACGGAAAGTTCCTAATCAAATCGCAAAATAAAAATCCCAAACACAACAAACGAATGTTCATGACTTGGTACATGTACAGACAATAGATGAAGAACAGCAATACAAGTGCTGTTCCTTTGCTTTTTGTATGTTTTTTGTGCTGTGCATGTACTGATTTTGTGTCATAGATAGATACCCCATATCCTTTGTTTTTCTATTATATAGACAAAGCACATTAGTAAAAACGAAAGACAAGAATACAAAAATTTACCATAGCACAATAACACAATGCGGACAGGATGTATATAAGTACCGAGCCACGACAAATGGATAATTCCAAAAATAGACTACAGTTAAAGTAACAAAGACAAATAAAAGAACACTATGTCATAACTAAGATGATAAACAATGTCAGAACCTAGAATCTATATTTCAACACCATCGTGTATAATTAGTGAATTTGATACGGAATATTTATCAACAAGGTCTTGGTATCTCGTGATGATTTTTTTTTTAGAAAAAGGACGAGAAATACTTTGACATAACCCTAGTTCATCAACTTTCTGCTCAGACACTGGTGACGTTTTAAAAAATATGAGTAGCAGCTGCAAGCTCTTGAAAATCAAATGAGGTGGGAAATGTATATCCCATATGCAGGTAAAGTTGGTATATTGCTACTAAGGTTGGGGAAATTGATAATTTCAAAATTAGAATAGTCTCTTTTGTAATATATATTCTGATACTGAGTTGACCGCTTATGTCGAATTCGAGGTACAAGTCTAAAAATGAGGCAAGGGAAGCCGTTTCTGTTGTTTCTTTAATTTCTAGTTCTGGAGGAGACATTAATGGAACTCAATCAGAAAAGTTTGGATTGTTAATGGAAAGAACACTATCAATATATCTGAATGTAAAATTAAATAATCTGGCTTTTTTTATCTTCTAGTGTTTGTCAAGTGTCTAAAGGAACTCCGACTAATATGGGGAAAAAGACGTCGGCAAGGAGAGGCGCACAGTTCGTTCATATAAAAATGCCGACAATTTGTTGAAAAATTCTACCTCCTATTCAACAAACATGTTGTCAATAAGATACTCCAGCATACTGATCACTTGTTCCTCTGTGTAGCATGTTTTACCTTTCTTTTTCACTATTAAGAAAATAAGCCGTATGATATCCCGAAGTAAAAAATGTATAGCGTATGCCACCATTTTTATGTTAAAAAGCAGTGTGGATTATTTCTTTTAGACGATTTTTCATTTTCACATAGAGAATGGTGGTATACAGGGTTGAAAAATCAAAAGTTTTGATAAAACTTATTTCAGAGAACGATCGAAATTTGAAATTATCCTGAAGTTCTTTAAAGTTTGTTAGAATCCACACATGGTTAATACCACTACGTGAGTAAACAGTTTCGCAGTATTTCTGAAGACCCTCTTTTACTGAGGACAGAATTTTTGTCAATCTAATGGACAATTCTTTCGTCGAACATGCAGATGAGCCGGCAATGTACCGTTGTTTGTACGGAATTTTGTGAAGCTAAGGTATCCAATACAAACACGGTAAGTCCTCCGAATTGCTGTTCAATGTAATGTCCATTGAAGCCATGAAGTACTTATGATTCTTCGAAATCTCATCCTTGTCAGATGTATGTGATACCTGAATGCTCATTAGTTCCTAAATTTTTTTACAAGACACTCGTAGTAGTACGACTTACATTGAAAGACAATAGTATTTGAAGCTTTGTCCGCAGGAACAACAACATATTTATCATGATGAGATGATTATTTCACAGCTTCTTTGTCTCTGAAAACGGACTTTGGGCGATCATTCATACAGTTTTTCAACTAATAAATTCGGCGTTTTATCATAAAACTGATTTTTTTTTACCCATTCTGACAAAGTGTCTAGTTCAACCTTTTCTCGTTTAGCCCATGCTCTGGCGTAGTCCTCAATAGAATCCATAATTACTTAAAGTTATGGTTTTAAATGATGTGTTGAGGTTAAAACTAACTCGTATGTGATGCAATATTGCATTAGTTTAAATCCGAATTTAAATAAGTTAGCAACACTCCTGCCAACAAATGTATGCGTTGGTAAATTCAATCGATGGAACAAAAAAATTAAAACAATTACATTTTGTATTATTAACTTGTTTCAAAATTCATAGAAATTCAATGGACTATATCTGAAATATGAATAACAACACATAAGCAATTATTACAGGATGATTGCTTATTTATTAAACATGAAAAAGAGAAAATTACAGGAATATTTTCAATACTAGTTAAACTCTTTCTCGTCAATAAACTACTACATAAAGACCTATGGAAACCGCATGATGAAACAGAACATTCAGTTTGTTGATTTTCGTTGAATGTTTTTCAAGCTATATAGTGACTACACTAGATTGCCATGATGTCAAGAGCTGTTATAGGATTATTGTATATATTTACTTCTTGTGGTAATGTATTATCTTATTATCATATACTTGTATAAAATATTACTAAAATTTTACAGTTCAATAACATTTAAAAATATTAAAAGGCTATGAAAGGATTACTAGGTTTATTGATCAGATTCCTAAGAATTTCCTCAGCGGGCTGATAAAGGAACCTTTATTGACTGCTTCCGGAATGTTATCACATGCCTTTCCGTTAATTTCCGTGACGTTTATCACATGCAACGTCGTGCATTTCCGGAAATTTGTTCGAAAACGACAACACAATGCGGAAAACCGCAAGTGATTTAAGACTTTTCACAAAATGGTTGAGGAGCAAATTTCAAACTAAGAACATGATAATTGTTGTGACAAGATAAATAAAATGCTTGCAATATCAATAAAAACAATTAAAGTTAAGAAATTTGTATTTGGTTGTCTGTAAATTGTTATCTAAAAATTCATGGAAAGACAAACATTTTAATTAATAGTTCTTCTGTTGAAGTATATGATAAAAAGATAATTACATGTCATTTATCATATCAGACCCTTTATCGGCCCTCGTTCATGATATCAGCCCTCGAGCCGCAAACTAAAGACAGAGCTTGCAATTAGCCGAACTGATATATGAAAGTGTAAAGATTAATGCTTCGATACGGATAAAGTATTTATAACGATTGAGATAAAGTAAGTATAACGATTAAGATAAAGTATGTATAACGATGCAGATAAAGTATGTATAATAATTAAGCTAAACCGTATCGTTATCAGACCATAGTTGCACTCATCTTGAGATTTTCCGTGTTTGTGTAGTATATTTAGTTCCAGACAATCCGATGCCTGCTAAGTTTCTTGCTTGGTTAAGACTAGTATATATATACTTTGAAACATATTTGCATTGGAAAAAATGATAATCAGACATTTAAATTCAAATGTTCTATTGCATTTCACTGCTTTTGCAAAATACACGTTTCTTCACACGCCTTAGTATGCACAATAATAATGATAATTAATAACCAAATAAAGAATAAAGAAGCTGTACACTCAGTGTATATAATGTCTCATGTATGAAATAGCCAACGAATATGACCCTTAAATTAAAATAAATAAAACGATGGTTAAATTTTTTTTCATTTTTCTGAATTATAAAGTAAACTTAGAATAGTCTATTCGTGGTTTGGCAATTACGTCTTAGAATATATGAATAGTCTATAACAATTACATCTTAGAATATATGAATAGTCTATAACAATTACGTCTTAGAATATATGAATAGTCTATAACAATTACGTCTTAGAATATATGAATAGTCTATAACAATTACATCTTAGAATATATGAATAGTCTATAACAATTACGTCTTAGAATATATGAATAGTCTATAACAATTACATCTTAGAATATATGAATAGTCTATAACAATTACATCTTAGAATACATGAATAGTCTATAACAATTACGTCTTAGAATATATGAATAGTCTATAACAATTACGTCTTAGAATATATGAATAGTCTATAACAATTACGTCTTAGAATATATGAATAGTCTATAACAATTACATCTTAGTATTAAAAGTCAAGCAATTACGTCTTAGAATATATGAATAGTCTATAACAATTACATCTTAGTATTAAAAGTCAAGCAATTACGTCTTAGAATATATGAATAGTCTATAACAATTACATCTTAGTATTAAAAGTCAAGCAATTACATCTTAGAATAGACTATTTCCATATTACCGACTTTTGACTCCGGATTATATAGTTTGTCGACTGGTTACCTTGGACATCATGGTACTCGGTCAAGTAAGAGCGACCAAAATAAGTAAAATCAAACATATAATCGGTGTAATTTGAGGGGAAAGTTTATTGTTTTCCGATGATTTTGTAGTGAAAAAAAAATGTTAAGCAGGTAATTTCCCCCCAAAATTGTACCGATTGAACGCTTGGTTTTCCTTCTTTAGCTTGCTCTTACCTGACTTGGTACCATGATGTCCAAGGTAACCAGTCGACAAATTATATAATCCGGAGTCAAAAGTCGGTAATATGAAAATAGTCTATTCAAAACTAGTCTAGCAATGATATCTTATAATATAAAAGTCTAGTAATGACATTTTAGAAAAGTTTATTAATGATTAATTTTAAATGCTAAATAAGAGGAAAGAATGAAGAAATATATTTATTAATTTTTTTTTGTCTTCACCGACATGCGAAATCTAATACAAGCATTTGAAGTTGTTTCATTTTTGCTCCTAAGACTAGAAATTCATTAAAAAATATAATGTTTGAAGGGAGGTTTCATTCTACTTAAATACTCCCCATGCGATTGTACAAGGATGATGAATGCTAGTTATAGAACTAAAATGTTGTCATGTAATATTGCGTTTGTTTAAATCTGCATTTAAATAATTAATCAAAATTCTTGTCAACAAATGTACGCGTTGGTAAAATCACAATCGAACAGTAGTAAACGATAAAACAAAAATATCAAAACAATAGAATTGTGTATGACGTATTTGTTTCACAATTCAAAGAAATACAATGGACTATATCTGAAATATGACCAAGAGCAAACCAGTAACTATTACTGGATGATTGCTTATTTACTTAACCTGAAAAATAGAAAATAACAGGAATATTTTAAATACTACTTAAAATTTTTCTCGCCAATTAACTACTACATTAACAACATATCAGACTTCGCATACAGTAAAATGAAAAAGAACATTCAGCTTGTTGATTTCCGTTGATTGTTGTTTAAAGCTATATAGGGACTACACTGGGGGATCATAATGTCCAGAGATGTGTTTATATAGTGACTACACTGGGGAATCATAATGTCCAGAGATGTGTTTATATAGTGACTACACTGGGGGATCATAATGTCCAGAGATGTGTTTATATAGTGACTACACTGGGGGATCATGATGTCCAGAGATGTGTTTATATAGGGACTACACTGGGGGATCATGATGTCCAGAGATGTGTTTATATAGGGACTACACTGGGGGATCATGATGTCCAGAGATGTGTTTATATAGGGACTACACTGGGGGATCATGATGTCCAGAGATGTGTTTATATAGTGACTACACTTGGGGATCATGATGTCCACAGATGTGTTTATATAGGGACTACACTGGGGGATCATGATGTCCAGAGATGTGTTTATATAGTGACTACACTTGGGGATCATGATGTCCACAGATGTGTTTATATAGGGACTACACTGGGGGATCATTATGTCCAGAGATGTGTTTATATAGGGACTACACTGGGGGATCATGATGTCCAGAGATGTGTTTATATAGGGACTACACTGGGGGATCATGATGTCCACAGATGTGTTTATATAGGGACTACACTGGGGGATCATGATGTCCACAGATGTGTTTATATAGGGACTACACTGGGGGATCATGATGTCCACAGATGTGTTTATATAGGGACTACACTGGGGGATCATGATGTCCACAGATGTGTTTATATAGGGACTACACTGGGGGATCATGATGTCCACAGATGTGTTTATATAGGGACTACACTGGGGGATCATGATGTCCACAGATGTGTTTATATAGGGACTACACTGGGGGATCATGATGTCCACAGATGTGTTTATATAGGGACTACACTGGGGGATCATGATGTCCAGAGATGTGTTTATATAGTGACTACACTGGGGGATCATGATGTCCAGAGATGTGTTTATATAGTGACTACACTGGGGGATCATGATGTCCAGAGATGTGTTTATATAGTGACTACACTGGGGGATCATGATGTCCAGAGATGTGTTTATATAGTGACTACACTGGGGGATCATGATGTCCAGAGATGTGTTTATATAGTGACTACACTGGGGGATCATGACGTCCAGAGATGTGTTTATATAGTGACTACACTGGGGTATCATGACGTCCAGAGATGTGTTTATATAGTGACTACACTGGGGGATCATGACGTCCAGAGATGTGTTTATATAGGGACTACACTGGGGGATCATGACGTCCAGAGATGTGTTTATATAGGGACTACACTGGGGGATCATGATGTCCAGAGATGTGTTTATATAGTGACTACACTGGGGGATCATGATGTCCAGAGATGTGTTTATATAGTGACTACACTGGGGGATCATGATGTCCAGAGATGTGTTTATATAGTGACTACACTGGGGGATCATGATGTCCAGAGATGTGTTTATATAGTGACTACACTGAGGGATCATGATTTCCAGAGATGTGTTTATATAGGGACTACACTGGGGGATCATGATGTCCAGAGATGTGTTATGTTTATTGGTTACTTCCCATTATTATGCCCATACCGCATAGTCAGCTATAAAAGGCCCCGAAATGACAAATGTAAAACAATTCAAACGAGAAAACTAACGGCCTAATTTATGTACAAAAATTGAACGAAAAACAAATATGTTACACATCAACAAACGACAATCACTGAATTACAGGCTCCTGACTTGGGACAGGCACATACATACAGAATGTGGCGGGGTTAAACATGTAAGCGGGATCCCAACCCTCCCCCTAACCTGGGACAGGGGTGTAACAGTACAACATAAGAACGAACTATAAAAGTCAGTTGAAAAGGGTTAATTAACTCATCAGATGGATACAAACAGAAATACTACACAGAGTGGACGTGGCCGGGTACTTGTATATCCCAACAACAAATAGACACTATAAAAACAGATCTGAGAGTACTCGCAGTTACTGACAGCTAGTTCAAAGCCACTAACAACTAATTAAAAAAATCATGCATTTTCTCGTGTTTGGTTCGATGTGCTTGCTTCGTGTTTTCCCTTAATTATTTTCCGTGTTTCGTGTCGGTACTCTTATTTTCTCGTGCTTGTCCCGCATTTGATTAAAAAGTAAACCGGGACTAATTCAAAGTCAGCCCAAATATTGTTTTAAATTATAAACTAATTAACTGGTCCTAAGATATTTATTAATAGCCTATTGTATTACTATGATAAATCGGATGCAACTAACGGACGCTAAA